TGCTGCCGCTAACTCCAGCTCCAGCGGATTCAGTGTCCTCTTAGGACTCCATGGGTATCTGCACTCACGTGTATGTGTACACACACACACACACACACACAGATACACAGAGACACACACAGATACACACAACACACACACAGATGCACACAACACACAGACAGACAGACAGACACACAGACATAGACACACACACACACAGTCATACACAGACACACACACAACACACACAGACACAGGCATACACACACACATACACAAAGGCACACACACACACACAGACACACACACACAAACACACACACACACTTAATAAAAAGAATCTTAAGAAAGAGAAAAGCCATCAGCTATCTTGAACCCAAAGCAGTGGGCAGTGCATCCTTGGGGTCCACGCAGGGCAGAAGACACAGGCCCCTCCCCAGTAGGGAACCTGCCTCTAGATGCAATAGGGTTGGTTGTTTGAAACCTTCTCAGTCAGACAGTTTTCTCCCCTGTCAGGCGGGCCCCTCCTGCAGGGTGTTATGACAATGGTCGCCCTGGCAACCTCGGGAGGGCCTTAGGCCTCTGGTTGCAGCTTCAGCTATTTTATTACCCTGGCAGGGTTTGACAGCCCTAGAGCTTTGCCTGCACAGCCAGGGAGCCAGTCCTGCCCAGGCTATACCTTGGGAAAAGGCTCAGGGCTTCATTTCTGGGGGCCTGGTGGACATTTCCAGTGGTGCACATTTATCAAAAGATAAAAAGAAAAGAAAAAAAATGGACAGACTACTGGCCGTCTGCTGGGCAGAATCTAAATGCTGGGGAACACAGGCGGAGAGCCGGTGCTCGGAGGGAGATGACAGGATGATGGGTGCGTGGTGGTGGGGATGTGTAACCATGGAAACCAGTAAACAGCATCATTTGTGATAAAGAGCACTACCCAGGATGTGGGGTGTGTGTGTAACTGGGTGTGCCCTGCCTCGTTTGGGAGGTGAACTCTACAGGGTGGGAGGGGCCACCCCTGGTAGGAGGGACAGTTGCCAGGTCAGACCCTGTGGGTTCAGGACCGTTAGTAAAGAGGCTGCGGGAGTGGCGTGCTCAGGGCAGTCCTGAGGCATAGTGGTTCTGTGCTGCCCACAGGCTGGCTGTGTCATTCCTGGGCCCCAGTGTGTCCCACATGTGTCATGGGGTGTGATATGAACCCCAGCCCCAGAGAACTGGAGGATCGAGTGCATGCCCCTACTCATCCTCATACCCTGAGTTCCTCTCAACTTTCCTGACCCATCTGTTAGGCAGAAGCATCGTGGGGGGGGCGGTTGGCTTTAGGCAGTAGCAAACCAAACTCTTGTGTGTTTCGTACAGGTCTCTGCAGTTTGTCTTAGTTTAGATTTGGAGTGGAAAGTTTCCTGTTTCCCATTAGGGATTTGAGACACGATTATTCTTAGAGCTGTCACATGTCTTGACTTTTAATTTTTTTTTTGTTTATGCTGCTAAATTTACCGTTGTGCTAATATGGAATACAGTAATAAGGCGTGGGGATGCTTGGATGGCGTCTGGGCCTGCAGACGATTTCTATTTGCTTGTGAGATGCAGGGCTGCCCTCTGGTGTGTATATGGAGAACTGCAACCTAGAATCCCTGCACCCTTAGCCAGGCTTGGAAAGGCACCTGTGACCCCTTCAGAAGGTGGGTGCTGTAACTTGCTTTTTGTTTTTGTTTTCGAGACAGTGGTTATCTACCGCCCTGGCTGTCTCAGAACTTGCTCTGTAGACCAGGCTGGCCTCGAACTCAAAGAGATCCACCTGCCTCTGCCTCCTAGAGTGCTGGGACTAAAGTTGTGTGCCGCCACCACCTGGCGGTTGCTGTAATTTGAAGGTGGACCCACTTTTTTCAGTTTAGCTCTACTGAGACTTAAATTGACCTAAAAATCAACTAGGCCACCTCGTGGGACGAGGCCACTGGGTGGGGTGGGGCACTGGGTGGGGCCACTGGGCGGGCAAAGCCACCAAAGGCTCTTACCCTGTGTCTGTTTCAGTGGAGAAGCAAGGAGACACTCTGAAAATGGGCATCAGGTGTCCTGAGTTCGGGTCTTGGCCCTGCTACTTTGGGATGGGAGGGCCAGCACCCCGGCCTCCACATTTCCTTATCTGTAATACAGTCCCAATAATATGATCCCTGTGTCAGCATGCCAACACATTCAAAGGAAGAAACACATCAGGAACCATCTTTCAGAACTTATTTAGTGATGTTGAAGGATTTAATTATTATCACAGTGAGTATTGGCTGGTTCTGGGACTCGAACCTAGGACGCTTCACGTTGGCCATGTGCTCTGTCACTGGGCTATACTTCTGATGTTAAAGGACTTATAGGAGCCAAAATATACCCAAGGGTATGTTCCTGCTTTGCACAGGTAAAGGGATTCTCTCTCTCTCTCTCTTGGTTTTTCGAGACATGGTTTGTCTGTATTGCTTTGGAGCCTGTCCTGTCCTGGCACTCACTCTGCAGACCTGCCTGGCTTCGAACTCACAGAGATCCTCCTGCCTCTGCCTCCTCAGTGCTGGGATTTAAGGAGTGCACCACTGCCCATCCAAGGGCTAGTTTTTCAATGCAGAGATTCTGCGGGCAGTTATAAGCTACGATAGAAATGACTCACTAGAAAATGAAATGGACAAAGAATGTAAGGCTGCCCTAGAAAACCATTAGACTTAGCAGGTATTGAATGACCCTTGTCAAATAGCTGCGTGCCTCTGAATGCTCTGGCTCTCTGAGCTTACCTGAAGGGGTGTGGCTTACCTGGGGGGGGCATGCCTCTTGTCTTCGGAACACCTCAGTCAGGAAGAGCATCGCCCCTCAGGCAGAGGCCAGGGGTATGGTGTAATAAGCTTTGTGCTTAAACCCACCCTCCCGTCCTGAACCCCGTGAGAGATGGAAGGAGAGGCTTGCTTCCCTCAGCGAGCCCAGCGCTCCCGCCATTACCGTTCTGTGATAATGGCTCCTTGCTGTGTAAGAAGCTGGCCCGTCCATTTTGCATCTCAGATGTCCAGGCTGACCCTTGGCTGCCCTTCTCTTTTGGCTCTGATCATGTGACCTTGCAGTTTGTGTTTACCACGTTACCATCACATGTAGGGTGGGGCTTTCCACCTCAGTTAACCTAATCTAGAAGTCATGGTGATGCTAAAGCCTGTCAATTTGACAATCAGGATCGAGTATCTCATGTTCCAGTAGTTAGACCTCAGTTCAAGACCTGGGTGGAGCTTGATGGACTTGAATCAGTGATGGCCTTGGGTTAGTGACATAACCGTTGTAGACTTCAATATTTTCCTTTGTAAAATGCAGAAGGTGGTTAGAACACAAGGACTGAGTGATTAATGGAAGGTGACAGCCATGATGGTGCTGTGACCTTAGTATCAGGGAAACAATATTTCTACTCAAATTTCCAGCCATCCAAATGACTTTACTGGGGTTGGAAACTTTACTGGGGAAGGGAACACACTGCTCTTGCAGAGGAACCAGGTTCGGTTGCCAGCTTCCACACAAGTCTGGAACTCCAGTTCCAGGAAATATGCCCTCTTCTGGCCACTTCAGGGTCCTATATGAACATAGTACACATAAATCCATGCAGGCAAACACACATGTATACATAAAATAAGTTAATGAATTAAAAGCAAATGGCACTATCAAGCCAGACATCACTATACACATCTGTAATCCTTGCATTCTGGAGGCTGAGGCAGGAAGATGAAGAGTTTAAGTGCAGTTTAGGGTTAACAGTAAGACCTTGTCTGAACACACACACACACACACACACACACACACACACACACACATACTCTCAGAGAGCCCCTCTGTACTGTTTGTTGTCTATGTTCTTTTCCTTGGGATTAGGAAAATCATAGCTTTGGAAAGATTTTTAGTCTAAAGTCAAAGAGATCAGACATTGAATGATAGCTGATATATCTAATTTTTTTTTACTATAGTTGTATGTGTGTGTGGTGTATATGGTATGTGTGTCTCACATGTTTGTGGGCATATGTGGGATGGGGGTTGCCCAAGTTGGCCTTGAACTCACTTACAAAAAAGACATGCCTTTATTAGTATTAATTATGTGTAGATGTTTGTCTGCACATATGTATGTTCTAGTCATTATGCTAAAAAACCAACCACAGGTGTAACTATTCTAATATTACTGTATGGATCCGAAGCTTAAGGAGCTGGGTTACAGAGTCCCTTTTGTAGTTGCTGCATGGTGTATGTCATGAGTTTCTGACAGGTGGATTCTCAGGGTGTTGAGAGTCCTTTGCTCTTTCAAGCAGAACTGTAAAAGTAAATAAATAAGTGCTTGGACACAGTTACTTTTCAAAAGATGTCCGCCATAGTATGAGTCTCTGGACATGGAAATGTTGGGTCAAGGATCTATGTGATGACAATGTCGGTCCACCGAAAAGAGGAGGCAACATTCCCCACCCCCACCTCAGCAAAATACCAAGGTCTACCTGGTTGCCCATCTTCACCAACACGGTGACAAATGTGGGGGCCATATTAGCCCTCTTTGTGATGCTGTAACAGAAGTCGGGTACTTTACATAGGAAATAAATGTATGTGGCTCATGACTCTGGTGGCCGGAAGATCCAGACAGCCTGTTGCTCTGGAACTTGACTGGGGAGGAGGAGGAACTGGCTTCTTGCAGAGGGGACAAGGACAAGGGGCCCAGCCCTTTAAGCAGCCGCTTCCAAGAGCACTAGAGCAATCCCTTCTGAGGCTGGGGCTGCCTCCATGTCTGATTCACCTCCCTCTGGGTATCAGCTCCCATCTCTCAGTCTTGTCCCACCGCAGACCAAAGTCCCCGCAAACCACGTGAGGTGGAAGGCTGAGCCTCACTGTGGGGGAAACAGCCTCTACTGCACAAGACTGGCTGGCGTTAGCGCGTGCGCGCGCGCATAGCAGGGCTTCTCGCCTGCCCGTGCCCCCCCCACCCCCCGCGGCAGAGTCTGTGAGATGTGTCCCTGTGTTCTATGTCTCTGCAGAGCAAGCTGGTGAAGTACTTCAGCCGGCAGCTGTCCTGCAAGAAGAAGGTGGCTCTGCAGGAGCGCAATGCCGAACTGGACGGCTTCCCCCAGCTCCACCACTGGTTCCGGATCGTGGATGTGCGCAAGGAAGTCCTGGAGGTGATCACAGGCAGTCCCGACCCCCTTGGCCCTCACTGGCCAGAGACTGCCTTTGCTGCTTCCTACATGGCAGGCGTGGGCTGTGCCCAGCACAGACCCGGGCACATAGTAGGCCCTCAATACATGTGCCCTCAATACGTGCTAGACGAAGGCTTGCAGCAGGGTCTCACATGTATCTGAGTGGGACTGTTAAGGGCAAGGTTGCAGAGTCAGCATTTGCAGTTGGGGCGTGGCAGTGGCCCACAGGCAGGACTTCATTCATATCTGCCACTAAATGGAGTCACTTGTCACTCTAAGCCACCATGTTGACCGGCGGGCGCTGCACATTGACTCTTGCTGTGGTGGCGATATTCCGTGTTTGTGCTGTCCGAGAGAGCAGCCACTGCACACATGGCTCCTGGGGCACTAGGGTTGCGATTAGTGTGGGGGACCAAGGACCTGGATTCTGAATGGTCTTTCATGTGAGTGACTGTCGCCAGCGCTGCCATACTGGATGGCAGCCATCAGTTTTTGCACGTGGATAACGGAGTCTGCGGGGTGGCCCAGCAGGTGAAGGGCCCGAGTTCAGGGTGTGAAGGCATGTGCTGGCGAGGCAGGAGCAGGTGGATCCTTGGGGCGTGCTTGTATTTGCGCATGCGCGTGCGTGCGCGCACACTGCTATTGTATACTCCTCCCTCCTCCTCCCTGTCTTCTTTTTTCTTCTAGTCTCACGTAAGCCAGGCTAGCATTAAACTCACTCTCCAGCTACAGGTGGCCTTGAACTTCTGACCCTCCCACCTCTGTCCCCCAAGTGCTGGTGTCCTGGGTGTAGCCCCAACCTCTCTTTCCTTAAGTAGCTGCTGCGTGAAAGAGGGTGACCCCCATAAAACGTCCAGTTCAGATCAGGGCGGGGCTGTTGACAGCACCAGTGAACAGCTCAGGGCTGTGCAGGAATGATCTTGACTTCGGGGGCCTTGGACGCTTTTTAGGGACTTTCGAGGTCTCCCTGTGATCTCTGTGGTACAGGGAGAGAAACACCACACACAGCACACCCACCCCCCACATGCACACACACACACACACACACACACACACACACACGAGTCGCCCCTTTTAAATCACAGGCTTAAAGTGCAGTTGGCCCCGCAGCAAGGAGAGGACATTAGCTTGTGTTATCTGTCCCACTTATCACCGCTCGTCAATACCACACAACCTAAAAGCACCTGAAAAAAATAATACTAATTGAATAATCATCTTTATCAGGATGGCTTGTGGCCACATCTGTGACCGAGGTCTTGATTGCTAATTGATGCAGGCGGGCCCAGCCCACGAGGGCAGTTAGTTTATTCCTAGGCAGACCGGCCTGGGCTAAGGAATGGGAAGCATGCACTGTTCCCCAGGTCTGCTCCAGTTCCTGCCTTGCGTTTGTGTCCTGAGTTTTTTCAGTGATGAACTCTGACCGGAAAGTGTACCCTGAGTAAACCTTCCTCCTGAGTTGTTATTGGTCAGAGTTTTCTCAGAGCGTGTCCCCCGAAGGAGGTTTACCCACACTATGTTCCTACTTGTCTCTAGGTGACTCAGTTTTTGTCTCCTGTCCCTACCCTGACTTCACAGTCACTGTCTTTGGCTTTTGCCCTGTAGGGTTTTTTTTTTTCCTTCCTTTTTTTGATGAAAAATAGAATTTATGAAGTCTGTTTTTGTGACTCTGTATGTTATTGTAATACATAGTCATGGCCACAAGAGGGCAGAAAAGCACACTATATTGCCTGTGAATCACCATCCACAGATTTATAAACATTATTTAAATAATAATATACTCTGCCTGTGTAAAGCCATTCACTACTGTTAGATACTGTGAATGAAGATTCTTATGTGCACAAAGATCGAGGAACTTGTTGGTAATGTTGCAGACTTATTTAGGACAAAGTTTAAGGAGGGGACTATGGGCAGGGAAAGGGCCACCTACCCCACACATTGCTTCCTCTTTCCCAACTCCTTTGCTCAGACAGATCCTTTCCTCTGCTCTGTACTATTCCTCAGCCTTACTGCATAGCCTCATGGTGCTCAGGAATTTTCAGGACTCCTTTCTACCCTCAAGCCACTCATGGGACTTGGGCTGCCTTCCTTTTAAAGGCTCTTAAAGGAACATGACTCCTAGACCTTGTGGGTGCGTCAGAAAGGAAGCTGAGAGTGGGGGAGGTTTTGTGTCTAATTGGCTTGTTTTGGGTCCACCTGGCCAAGTTCAGCAGAGCATCTTCTCATAGAAGTATGAAACAGGGACCTGTCCCTGTGGGGTTCAGAGGCTGGACTGCGTGTGTGGATTGTTGGTCCTGTATGAGTGTGCACCTACACTCAGCACCTCCATTTTATAAGAGAGAAGAGCAAGGTTAAGTGACCCATCTAACTAAGTGGCAAATGGGAGACTCAACCCCAAGTTCAACCGTGTTTGTATAGTGTGGTGTCTCTCGCTGGGTACCAGCAGAGGGCAGTGTGGAGGCACCTCTGCAGTTCTCCTGAGTGCCACAAGGAGGTGGTATGGAAACGCCACACCATTCTGTCTGGCCCAGCACTTGGGTTCCAGGTCCAGCTGACTGCCTTTGTCCCCTTCCCTAGGAGATCTCCCCTGACCAGCTGAGCCTGGAGGACCTCCTAGAGATGACAGATGAGCAGGTGTGTGAGACGGTGGAGAAGTATGGAGCCAACCAGGAGGAATGTGCCCGGCTCAACGCCTCCCTGACCTGTCTCAGGAATGTGCACACATCAGGTGAGCAGCCCAGGAGGTCAGCCACTGTCCTTCAAGCTTCCTGTGTGGGTCAGCACATAAGAGAGTGGACCCTGGAGAGCCAGCTCAAGCGTAGAGATGTAGAGATGGCTGTGAGACTTGGAAGTAGGTCGGGGTTTGAACGCCACCCTGCAGAGGATGGCTCTCTATGGGTCCTGGATTATTAGGGTCCTGGTGTGGGAACTTTGGGAGGCCAGGGTCTTCCCCCTCAGACACTGGGAAGTGGCCTTGCCTTCTGAGTAGCGGTTCTGCTTATTCCTATGCAAAAACACGGTGCATTCTTTGGACCGGGAATCGGGTTGTAATTGCCCCAGGCCCTGGCCTCCAGAGACCTGCAGTTGTTATTTTACTGTATTTTCTGGAGCAATCCTTCCAAGACAATCCTCCTTCTCTTTCTTCTTGTTTTCATTCTCCTCATCCGTGTCCTCTCCTCCTTCTCCCTCCCCCCCCGTCATTTTTTCCTACAGCACTGGTAAGAGTATTTAGACATATTATTTAAAATTTTTTTTCTCCTAAGAAAAATTTTGTGGCTTTGCTTTATTAATAATTTACAATCTAAAATTTTCATATTTTTTTTCCTGGATCGTTCCAATTAATCACTCAAAACTGTGATGCTGGGCTGGGGATGTAACTCAGTTAGTTGGTAGAGTGTTTGCAGAACACACACAGGGTTCTGGGTTTGACCTCCCTAGCGCATCGTAAATGGAGTGTTGTGGCACAGGATAATAGCCCCTGGCATTTGGGGGTTGTAGGAAGGGAGAGGATCGGGTGTTCAAGATTATCCTTGGTTACACAGAGAGTTTGAAGCCAGTGTGGGATACGGAGACCCTGTCTCAAGAGAAAAAGGAGGAAAAACCACGGAGTTTACTAGCAGAGCATTATCAGTAGGTGGTTGAAAATTTGCCTTCCCTCTAGGCTCCTGTCCCCCCCCCCCCCCAAACGGTTGCCAGCACTGTTGCAAACACCAGCACTGCCCTTTCAGTTCTCACCACAAGGTGGCGCCATCGACCACAGGTCTGGCACAATCTGGTGGCTGTTAATTCTTACTCTGGTTAGAAAACATGCAACCAGCAATTAGGATTTACAGAGTGACTGTTAATATGCCAGGAGAACCCAACAGAACAGGTTTCCAGTGTGCAGGCTTGAGGGCCTCAGCGCCATCTTAAGAACCCATGAACCCATTTTTTTTTTTTTTTTAAAGCCCATTGTGGTGGCTTGTCATCCCAGTACCAGAGAGGCACAGATAAGTAGATCGCTGAGGAACGCTGGTCAGGCAGCCTGGTCCACTCAGCCAGTTCTAGTTGAGTGAGGGACAGTTTCAAACAGCAGCAGCAGCAGCAGCAATAACAAAAAACAAAACCTAAAACAAAAAACTGAGGTGCGTGGCAGCAAAGGAGTTGGCTGACCCAGTTAAGGATGTGAGCCCAGGAATACCTCCCTCCCCTGTGACTGCATTCTAACCCCTCCTCTGCCCTGCCTGCTGTTCTGAAGGGTTCCCTCGTCTCCCATCTTCCTCCAGTCCTAGGCACAGCTGTCGTTGGGCGCATCTGTATGTAGGGCGGGCTCACGGGTGTGGCATCCCGGAGGAGATGTTCGCACTGATGGGCTGATGCTTTCTTAGCTCTCCGAGGCCAGATGACTTCTCACCAGCTGTCTTGTACATGTTTTTGTCTAGCTGTGCAGCCACAGACCCGGTTTATACTGCACCTTCACAGTCCCCCCCCACCTCCACACTCAGATACACGCCTGCATACGTGTAAAATACACACAATCTGCACACAGCCAAGGCATGTTTCCCCACACAGGGCCCAGCCTGGCAGGTATGGTGGGGAGACAGATATGTCGGATTCATTCCTATTGTATCTATAGCGTTGCTGTCTGTATGTGTGTGGTGCTGGCGGTTGGACCCAGAGCCTTGACCGTGGTAGGCAGGTGCTCTACCACAGAGTTGCATCCCAGCTGTGTTCTATACCCTATATCAAGCGCTGGCCATGACCTGCCACTGGGGGTTAAGAGGGCTTAGCGCTCTTTCAGAGGACCCTGGCTTGAGTTTGAGCACCCACATGGTGGCTTACAACTGTCTGGAACTCCAGCTCCAGGGGATTTGAGGTCCTCTTCTGGCCTCTGAAGGCTCCTTCAGATACGTAGAATATGTATACAGACAGACAGACAGATACACACACATTTTACACCTTTAGTTCTAGTATGTGAGAGAATGAGGTGTCAGTTCAAGGCCACCCTGGTCTACATAGCAAGTTCAGGGTAGCCAGGGCTACATAGTGAGACCCTGTCTAAAAAAAAAAAAATAAACAAACCAACTGAGTGGTGGTGGTGCCCACCTTTAATCCCAGCACTAGGGAGGAACAGGCAGGCAGATCTCTGTGAGTTCGAGGCCAGCCTGGTCTACAGAGTGAGTCCCAGGGGAGCCAGGGCTACACAGAGAAACTGTCTCAGGAAGAACAAACAAACAAAAAACCAAAAAAACAAACAAACAAACAAAACCCCCCAAAACCTCAAAACAACCCCCCAAACTAAACCAACCAATCAACAATGTTAATCTTAAAAAAAGAAAAAACAAAGCAAAACAAAATACCAATGTAGTTCATGCTGCTGGCTCCACCTTAGGTGTTTCTGAAGTTCCCATGGCAACAGCATGCATGCTATGTCCTGTTTCTTGTGATGGCCGATGAGTTGGGTTCTGGACAGCTTTGGGTATGAGCTGTTTTGCCCAGCTCTCCTGGCATGTGGAGCCCAGGCCGGTACCAGTCAGACCTCTTGGGAACAATGACTACCGGCGGCTCTGAGTTTCCTAACCACCCTAACCCTTCCGTGGTACGCACAGGTAGTAGCTATGTCACCGTGTCGGACGCTTTGCTTTCCACGGGATGCCCCTCCACGGGACTGTGCCCCGCCTCTGTCTGCTCTGTGCTCCCAGGGAGGAGGTTAATATCTGGTACACCGTGAGAGATGAGTAAATAATCGGACCGCCCCCTTTCCCCTCGCCTGGCCCATGCAAATGCAGCAGTGGCTTGAAGCATGCATCTCTCCAGGGACTGAGGACAGCTAAGGATTTGAGTTCTGTGTGGACTGTGTTCTCATCTTCCTTTCCAGTCCTAAAATGTATGTTTTAGATTTGTTTATTCGTGTGTATACGTATGTGAATGTATGGCGCATGCACATCAGTGTGTGTGGATGTGCATCTCTACGTCTCTCCACTAGGAGGCAGCAAGTCCCAGCAATCCTTCTGTCTCCGCCCTCCTCAGGGCTGGGGTTCTAGGCATGTGCCAGATGCCTGGTTTGTTACTGTGAGCTGGGATCTGAATCCCAGTCCTGACTGCACAGCAAGCGCTCGGTGCCGAGCGATCTCCACAGACCCCCAAACCCCGCTAATTCTGCAGCACCCCAGAGCAACTGCTGGTGTCTCAATCACACTTGTCCTCTGCTCAGAGCTCCCTGCCCTTTTCTGTTCACATCCTCCCACCCAAAACCTGCCCCCCAGGCTCTTCCTGGACCCCACAAACTGAACTGACCCCTGACCCTTGACCCTTAATAATGTCACATGTACTCCAAAGAAAGGACTCTAAGCCCTCCCCACACACCCCCATCACCCTAGTCTTGTCCTGGTGAATTTTACCCCAGCCATAGTGGACTCCTTAGTTTCCCCTTAGCATGGTCAACTTGATTCTGCCTCGAGGCTCCTGTCCCTCAGTGAATGAATGAGTACATGCCTCTGTCACCCATGGCTCACAGTGACTGTTTTCTCATCTGCTGCCCTCAGCGGAGCAGGGCCCTCCTGTAGGCACAGCTGCTGCCCCTGGCTGTTGGTCGTCAGCATCATGACCTGGTTGAATTAATTCATCTATGAGGGAGAAACTGCAGGGGAGAGCCACATGCCGTGCCTGCCCTGGATCTCCACCAGAGGGCAGCAGTGAGCCGGCCATCATGGGTCCTTCTTGTTTTCAAGGCTCTTCGCCTTCAAAAATGGTAGTTTCTTGAAGCTTCCAGGTCTCCCCCACCAGAGTCTTACATCCTAGTGACTGCAAAGCTCTGGAGGGAGCATTCTGGACCCTCTGTTCTCTTCTCCTGCTGGGGGATCAGCCTGGACCTGAAATTGAAGGACAGTCGATCACCCACTCAACACACAAGGGTTCCCCAAGCCAGGGCAGCTTAACCCCGTAGATATGGGGTGGCCTGAAGCCCCAACATTCAAGAACTCATCTGAAAGCGCTGATTGCTACTGCATGCCCTGTGTGCGTTGTGGAGATGTGTGCTGAGGGGTCAGGAAGGGGGCCCGATGGTCATGTTTTGTGTGGGGTGAGGGTCAAGCAGGGGCCTTAGGACAGCAGCAGCGTGCACAGTGCATGGTGAGGCTGGATGGGGGTTGTGCATGGAAAAGCAGAGCAAGGCACAGGACGTTTGGAATGGGTGATGGTGGCTGTCACGTGAACGGGGTGGGGGGACAAGTGTGACACCAGCCACTTTGCTTTCTCCCTTTCTAACTTCCTGTTCCTTTAGTTTCTTTTTTCTTTTTTAATTTTGTAATAGGATCCCAGGTAGCCCAGGCTATCCTCAAACTTACTATGGAGGTCAGGCTGATGCTCCTGTCTCCATTTCCCAGGTGCTGAGGTGGTGGATATATATCCAAACCTAGCTTAGTAGCCTGCTTGCTTTCTTTTGTCTGTCTGTCCATCTGTTCCCTGTCTGTGTGTCTGTCTTGCGCTCCTGGGGACCCAACTCAGGCCTTGGATATGCTGGACAAGAACTATAGTCGTGGCAGGAGCTCTGCCACCGGCTTCTCCTCTCAGCCCTTAACCCTGTTTTGGAAGCGCAGAGTCTGGAATCTGACAAACTTGCCTTTGGAGTCTGCGGTGGCTTTGGGCATGGCCGCCGCGATTCTGAGATGAGAAATTCGAGTGCGAGAGAGATGATGGGCATTTCCATACTGTGGCTATGCTGAGGGTGACGAGAGATGGTGCAGGCAG